CGGCAGCGCGGGGCAGGGCGGGGCGCGGCGCTCGGCGGCGGGGGGAGGGCTCGGGGGGTGGCGCTCTTTTTTGCTGCTTGGGGCAGCAAAAAAGTTAGAGCCGGCCCTGCACTGCAGGGTGCCTTCTGTCAGCTGATTTTTCAGCCTCTTCTTCTTACCTCCGCACAGCTAACAGAGAAGCCTGGACAATATCTGAATGAGCCAGATCCTCAGCTGGTGTAAACTGATATAACTCAATGGAAATCAGTGTTCATTTTCTACTCTTTCTTATGTAACAGAGGATAGTCTTGTTATTTATAGACATGTTTAATTCATTTTTGAATCCCAGTAAGCTCTTGGCCTCTGTTATAGCTTGTGGCAAGGAGTTCTATGGGTTAATTACGTGTTTGACTTCAGTGAGGCTATGCTGATTTACATCAGCTGAGGATCTGGTCCCATACATTTAAAGGGTTAACTCTAACCATTTCTCAAGCTTCTTAATTCAGGAACATTCTTTAGGATTTGCTGTTAGGACCCTGCTATTCCATCTGAACGTCAACAATTAATCAGGTAATGTATTCAGAGTTAGTAAGATGGTCAACATTATCACTGATAGGAAATGGTTAGGAAGCCTGCTGTGTATTTAAAAGTAGGAGAGAAACATGCTGGAGAAACTGAAAGTTGTACATAACCCAGTAAGGGTTAAAACTTGACTACACATGCCTTGGGTAGCCTACTGCAAGGAGCGAGAAACCTTGCCTACAGAAGCATAGTTCTGAAAAGCAAGAACATAATATCAAGTAAATTAGCTGCCCAGATGTCATGCATAGGTATTTGAAAATTTCACACTTATTCATGTTTATCCACAAAAGGGAAGATCTTAACCCCGTAGCCTTATTCACAAATGTACTGCTTCTGGGGATGGAACTTTTGCAACAAAAAACATGGCAGCAAGTGGGATGTTCAGAAGAAGAGCTTGGAGGGATGGAAAGATTTCCATGTGACGAGAGAGTGAAAAGACATGGATTATTTAAATTAGAAAGGTGATGAATAAAAAGGGACATGAGAGAGATATATAAAAATTATCGTTATTATATAGAAGATCATTCTGATACTCCTATATATCCTTTCTCTTAAGAGAAGAAAAAGAAGCCATCCAATTAAATGTAAGACGTAACAAATTTAAAAGTGATAGAGGGAATAATTTTTTTTACACAACACATAATTAATTTGTGGAACTCACTGCCAATTCTAGCACTGATGCCAAGAGCACAGGAGGGTTCCAAAAAGAGTAAGAGATTTATATCACTAAGAAGAACACTCTCATTTATATTAGCTAGAATAAGAATGTATATAAGGGATATAAATCTAAATCCTCCTGCTTCAGAACATACATCAATCTTAGATTGCCTGGGATTAGGATATAGCCCATAGATATTTTAGTGCATACTTGTCTGTTATGCAGTTTTACACCTTTCTCTGAAACGTCTGGTGCTGGCCATTGTCATAGAAAGAGGAACCATTGGTTTGAACTGGTAGGGCATTGCCTAAGTGCAGATAGAAAACCGCCTGTGTGCTTGTGAGCTTCTGAAGAGCTACTGGGCCAAATCCTTCTGTTAGTTACACTGGTGCAACCCCCTCGATTTCAAGAATTTCAAGCCAATTGATTTGCCTCATTGTAGCTGAGAGGAGAATCTGGTTCAGTGTTTGGAGGCACCTGATGTGATGCCTTGGCTCCATTCCACTCAAATGGCAGTTTTTCTGTTGACTTCAGTGGGGCCAGGATTTCATCCCTGATTTTTTTCAGAACCTGCTTTATCTAAATGTCATTCTAACTAATTTGTGATTAGACTGAAATACTGAACAATGATATTTTAACCACTGTTTAGAGGATATAAATCCCAAATTCAACAGAAAATCCCTCTAGCCTTTGAGCTATACAAGCAAGATCACAGATACTGTTTTTCCAGAACCCAGTTCTATATGGTTTAGAAGCCAGGCAGATTATTTTCCTTGGATCATATTATCACCGGAATAAGAAACTATAAATATCTTCTTCCTTATCCCTCCTTGTCCAGTAATAATTGGATGCAACATAATTTATCCCCAAGATGGCAATTTTGCTTTGACATTGAGGTAAACAAAACCAGATTTATTTGGGTGTTGTTCAAAAAACACCATCTCACTCCTAATTCCCCCCCACCCCCCCAAGAAACCTTAGCTGGCGTATTAACTTATAAATTTTCCCAGAAAAGTCCACAGAAACAGAAAATGGAGAGCAAATAAAATGTAGCTGCAAAGAGCCTGAATTCAAAGTCAAGGATCACAATATTGACCTCTTCCTAAAAAGGAAGAGGAGGTGGAACAGGAGTGGTAGAAGTGTATAGACATGCAAAATTTCTATATGGTTGTAGCATGAATTCCAACTAACTGTATTTAGAAAAGTCCATGAAGAATTTTTGTTAAGTTTTTGGTTTAACTGAATTCAGATTGTGGTCTGATATGTGGTTAAATGGGGACTCATGGGGAATAAATTGGTCTTTATGCCCCTGCATGGCTTCCATTCATATCTGCTGCAGGGGCTTGGGAGGAAAGCAGGGGCTGCATACCTGGTACTTCTCCCCCTTGAAGGGCAGTGGTGGAAAGATTCTGCATCCACCCCCATTGCAGTGGCCAGCATAGTTGAGCTAGTCCTAGGATGGACGATAATTAATCAACTTCTGGTAAAGGCTAGTAGCTTACTACTATTCCCCGAAAACAGGGAAGGAATTGTTCCTCTTAGATGCACAATTCCTTCCTTCCCTGGGCTGTTCTGGG